CGTATGACACGATCCATGAATTTTAATCGGTATCTTCGAGTGAATGCTTGACATTTTGGGCCTCGTGCATACGCAAGTGGATATGGTATCACCCCACGCTATGTACAACAGTGCTCGTATAGTATTCATATGCGTTGTTTTTTGTCTAAGTCAATCGCTGTACAAGCGCAAGATTTCTCGATTTCGACGACGGTTGGAGGCATCACTTACAAGATAGCCGAGAATCGGTAGAAAACGAATATATCAAGAATAAATCTTTGAAAGGGACTGATAGGCGTGACACGAAAATTGTCATTTCCTTTCCTCAATAGTCTCTGTGCTCCTTGTGAACAATGGATCAGTACTTGTACCATGACAGTTAGTCCATCCTCCCGCGGACGTCGCACCTTTAACTCTATGGACTAATCTCGAGTTAGCTCACTTATCACTTTCTTTAACACGGAGCGAAAATTTTCTCGACTTTGCAACGCACAAATCCAAAAACGATGGTGGTCCGGTGGTTAAGATCACCACTCCGGAGGCTGGGTGTTCCACCACCACCACCACCATCACGTGTTAATCACCAAAGACCCGCTACATCTGGAGTGATTATTCAGGTGCATTCATCGCTAAGTATTATAAGGCAATACCTTAAGTATAAAATCCAATAACTGTCCCAAAAATGAAAGGTTTTTGAAGTTACTACACAAAATCGATACTGCGAGAGGACTAGTCAGCAAGCGATTGAACTCTGCCATCAATCTCACCCAGCATGCAGCTGATTCAATCATTTTCCTCACTATCATCCGAATACCAATGAAATCGACAAAAGAACCATTGTATCTGCCAATTCAAGTGTGGATGCTCAGCCATCTACATAGGCAGAACAGAGAGGCAGTTACATCACCTAATGATCGAACACATTCCGGTGTGCGTTAAGAAAACGATGGACGATAAGCTTGTAACCACCACGTTATCGAGTGATCGGAAAAGACTTAGGTCTTCAGTACCACAACATTCATTCGAACAAAAACATTGTGTTACTGCAGCCCACGTATTCGAGGTCATCTACAACACAACAAACACAAAGTTACTGAAACTTGTTGAGATTCTAATCATTCACACTCTCAAACTCGATCTACGCGAACAACGCGAATGGTTACTCACATTATCTTTGCCTTGGTGATTGACCCCCTCCTACCTTCTCTCGTCTCCCTTTTTATGGTAGATGTGTCGTGTTGTTTATTGTGATTGGCGTGTTCTTGTCTTCATCTCCTGCGCATTATCCGATTCTGTAAAAAATCAATTTGATTGCAGTACGTGCACGTGTGTACAGATGCAGCGACATGACAATGAACACATTGTAGAAATCCATATTTTTGACTTTTCTATTCAATAGGCACTGTCATCCTCGTCCACGCACTGGACACCATCTATAACGGGCACCTTACAATTGGTCAGAGCGGGCGAGAGAGACAGAATCCTGTCCACAGCCAAAACGAACGCGATCAGACCAATTCGACCTAAACTGTGATGGTCTACACGTCCGATTGTGTTTTGACTGTCTTTGCCACTTTCGTGCTCCTCTGACGGAACAATGTGCATGTTTTGTGATCTAGAATATGAGTGGTGTTTTGAACACCAGGCTTGACTAGAATAAGCATCCTCTACAGGGGGAGGAAGTAGTCATACATTAAAAAGAATGTACTTTCATGCAGTTCTGCATCAAATTTATTCTTACTTATATTTGTAAATTTCGAACTACAACGAATCTTATCTTGAAACTGAAGGTCGCGTCACATCAAATGATGATATGATAGAATTGAAGGACTTCGGTGTAAAGTTTGAAGTTCGGAGTTAATGATTCTCCTCCTCCTTCCACTTTTCATGCCATGTACGTGCTGATGTGGCAGTGAAAGGCGAATTAAAATTCCCAAATTTTGAGGGTCTGCAGTAGTTGCAGCAATTGTAATAATATTAATAATAATAATAACAATAATAATAGTACGCACTGAACACGTAATACAAATCACGGGTGAGGCGCATTCAACCGTGATGTGAGAAAAAGCCCACAAGAGTGGTAGTTCGTTTATTGGAAGAAATCAGAGGGATTAAATAATATGTACCAAAGAAGTTCATTGATCATCCAAGAATCAGCCAATCGGGTTCTAGTATTTCTGGCGTTGCTTAGGTTCCGTTTGGGCAGTACGGTTTTCGACTGGTTGGTACAATCGATCTATGGTTTGTAGTCTGTAAGGTGTGACACGTACGCGCTTTGCTGACGTCACCCAGAAGCTTGATTTATTACAGTTGTCCGAAAACTGTAACGTGTCGCTCCGTGCTATGAGTTATCTCGCGGGTTAGGATCACCACAGGGTCTTCTTGCCCGAGTTCGATCAAAACATGTACGTTTGCGTGATGTGCGCGCGTGCGTGCGTGTGTGATAGTAGTCAATCAATCAATAGACATAT